ACACTCCCTCTTACCCCTAATTTTATATTTCATTTTTTTTTATTATTGATTAGTCTACCGAGCCCATCAATAATCTCTGACGCAAGCGAGATCAATCGATTGACTGATTATTCAAACACTAGCACTAGCATCAGCCCACCTTAGTCATTTCATTTGTATGTTTAGCGATCACTCAGTAAATTATGAACTGTGTAGTGGAGAAGGTGATGAAATCCTGTTGTTGGTTGGTTGCTTCCTTAACACCACACTCAGCAATATTCTAGCTACATGGCGGCAGTCTGTAAATAATCGAGTATGAAATCCAGGTGTCCAGGTAACACAAGTTGTGAGCACAGTGTAGACCAAAGTAAGTACCAAACCTTGTTTTAGTTTTAAAAAGAACATTTTTGTGCAATCTTTCTTCTTGCAATAGAAACACTGTACCATGAAAATGGAGTCACTGCCACTACGCCACAAGTCTGAGTGGAGGAAACAGCATTGAAAAGCTATTTATTTTAATATATTTGTGTGAATATTTCATGTATTAATTTTTGTCAACAATGATACGAAGACATAAATTTAATGTCAAGTACGCTAAAATTTTAGCTAATTTGAAGAGGGGTATACAGTTATTCCTTTACTTTACCCCGGTGCATCGTCCAAAACACTATCAGTTTCGAGGCGTCCCATGGCGGAAATATAGGTGTTTGGGCCAATATATTTTGCAAAGCACCACCTTAAGTTTCATCGCCTCCATTGGATTGTTGTCATCAGCCCCACTCTTTCTGTGATAGATCCGAGTATGCAACTGAGGGATGTTTGTCAAGTTCAAGGTCCAACTAGGTCTAAGGATGGGATGTTTTGTACAGTTGGTTATTGTCTTGATTTCTCGTTCTGAACCAATCTTTCTTTTACTCTAAATGTAGCATATAATATATTTGGGATTCTAAATGTAGGTTCATAGTAGTATGTCTTGAAAATATTCACCATTGTGTTCAAAATTCAAGGGGCCGGTGGGGTGGCCTAGTCGTTTTTAATCATACATTAGGAAGTCTTGATGGTTATCCTAAATGTAAATGGTGATTTGGGGGGTTTTTGGTTTAAATTTTTATTCAAATTTTTGTTCAGGACCTAAGATCACAAACCTTGGGACTGGTTGGACTTAGAACTCAGAAGTCAAAGTGTCTGTAGTAGAGAGTATTTTATTAGTCCAAGAGATGGGAGCGGTTTATTTCACCCAAGAGGTCTGTATAAGTTCATGCTTGTTTCAAAGACAAAAAAGAGACTGATTCTTCCAAAAAATATTGCCTTAAAAAAATCTGATGGACCATTTTCACATTTTGGGGTTCTGAGGTCATGACTCAGCAATATATGTGCAATATACTTGTTTTAAGTAAGTGAATGTTTTCTTTGAAACAAATCCTGTTTTCATTTAATATTTGGTGTCCTACTCCAAACATAAGGGTTCTGATGTTTTCCCAGTGCAGTTATGCTTGTGTTAGGAAATCATAAAAATACCACTTTTTGTTCAAATCCCTTTAATTCACAAAACAATGGATAAATTATATTTTCTAAAATGGAAATATTTTAGAATTTAATAGAATCTTTTTCCACTATTTTGTGAAAGGTTTTCAAAAAGATATATCAAAATTTGTGACTGGGGTCATATTGTAAATGTTGACACAAGGGAGGCAACTCTTTGAAAAGTTCGTTATGAAAAGTTGGCCTTCTGAGAAATCATTAAATTTGCATTAAAATGAAATATCACTATCCAAATTTCCATTTCCAGAAGCCATTGAACAGTGACTGAACCATTGATTTATTGCTGTTAGTCTGATTTTTCTTTAGTGTGCCAAAAAATGGTATTTAAGCAATTCAGTGTCTTTAGTTTCTCTAGATATTTAGTGACACGTACGTCCAGCTCGCATCGTCAAAGAAGGGCAAACATATGACATTAATCTCCACACAGTGGAAGTGTAACAGAAACTGGTAAGACCTGTCTCTAATCCTTACTTCTCATTATCTACAATTGAATCATCAGGGATAGTCGTCAGTTCTCAATGATGCGGCTTGGCATTTGATCACAAATTTAGGAGAATCCATCATATAACTTCCAGCTGTGTCCTGGTGCATATTGAAACTGAAGCTGGTGTGAGAGCATTCCTCCAAATACTGATACAAAGTTTGCTTGCTTGATCTTTTCCACCAATGTTCTCTTGGATGGTGGAAACATACAGTACTCAATCCTGTGAGGTGCTGGAGGATTCGCTGTCAGGACATACTTTTTCAGAATTGAGGGGCGGTGGGGTAGCCTAATGCTTGCAGAGTCAGCTGCACATGCTGAAAACCTGGGTTTTATTCCCCACATGGGTACAATCTGTGAAGCCCATTTCTGGTGCACCCCATCGTGATATTGCTGGAATATTTCTTAAAGCGACGTAAAACCATACTCATCGTCGTTGTCATCGTCATCGTCATCATCATCTACTGAATTGAATGTCTGACATCTCCAGTCTGGAACATAAAACACATTTCTAGGAATGTTTTGTGCAGTATCTGAACCACCCAAATGTTCACTAAATGGCTACTTAAGGCTTGACCATTTTTGGTGGTCGACACTTAATAGCTGCATTCTTCAGGTGGGGGAAAGTGTGTACCGATAGAAGTTAGAAAAACAGCTGCGCTGAAGTCAGTGCAAGGTCTTTCTCTGTTGCTGTATCCTACATTCGACTAGACACGTCCACCTTTCAGGTGTTGAAGCAGGAAAACTGCTCACAGCCTCAATTATCAGTTTGGATCATCTCCTGACAAAGCAGCTTACTGCAGTACAATTCCTGAATAGGATGCACAAGATGGTGAACTCTGCCATGATCACATATGTATGTGTGAGACATCATCTGCCTGTTGAAGGGCGGATGCCTGCTGTTCACTCTGCGGTAGTGTCCAAAAGTAGGCCAGAAAGCTGTCAAGTATTGAAGCAGCAAAACTACTCACAGCCTCAAATGCTGAGTTGGGACCATCTCCTGACAATGTGGCATGCCACAGTATGATTCCTGAACAGGAGGTACAAGAAACTCGGCCATAATCACATAAGTACCAGTATGTGAGAGTACCAGAGCAGTTCACTATGCACTTTTGTCCCTCAGCACACCACAAACCTTTTGTTCCTATGGCAGTGGGTTTGAATCCCGGTTCGGCCAGATTATGTGTTTGTGTATTAGTGGGTTTGTCCTGAGTACACATCTGACACCTGCATCACTGTGGGCTTGCCTCCCTCATTAAGCTCACAACCTGTGATGGAACCATGTTTAAAGCAGCTAAACCCAACTCACTCACTCACTCGCTCAGTGAACAGTTTCCAAATCAGGTCGAATTCCTGTTGCTGTGTGAGACTTCACCAGTCTGAAGTGAGATCAGTGTGTCTGTTTCTTTATTTGTGTGTGATGTTAAATTTAAACAGTCTCACTGTTCAGTTGGAGTAGAGGAAACCGGTCATATTTCAAGTTATATAAAGTTTGGATCTTCAAGAATGCTTTGATTAGAAACCGAAGATGAAGAACACAGGTCATCCTAGCTTCTAGGATGTTGGCATGTCTTTGAGACACCCAGATCTGTATCTCTGAGGGTGTCCATGATGCAGTGGGAGCTGCTGGTATTTGCAGTTTAATGTACTCCCTTGGTGACCAGTCAGTTACAGTATTGGCAATTTACAAACATGTCTCAAAATTGTAACTGTTTTCTGGTTCGCTGTTCAAAGCTGCCCTCAGCACTATTGCAGCTTTACCATTGCTAACATATGTTATATTTGGGATTACACTTTCTTAGAACATTGCTGTCTGTATACAATCAAGTGTGGAACAGACAATCCAACTGGGATACACCACAGGGACTCAATGACTTGTATCAACAAAGTCAGCAAACCTGATCATCGCATCTTACGACAACCATGTGTTGCAGAAGGCCAGTTCTACCAGATCATCACGGGACACTTCTTCGGTGACAGTAATGGACGCCACGCACACAAGCAGCCATGGCTTGTGCACGATCTAGTCAGAAGCTGAAAGGAAACCACCATTCATGGTTGGATGTCTCCTTTCACTGGCATAGATAAACGGATAAACTTTTATCAAGTGTTTGGAGAAATGCTTTCACACCAATTCCTGTTCAGTATGCACAGGAAACACATGGTTGGAAGTTAATAAATGCAACCTACCAAATCGTTTGATCAAATGCTGAGCCGTATCACTGAGAACTGGTGATCCTCCCCCTGATGATTCAGATGTACATAATGTTGTAGTGAGCATCATTGAGAGTTTGGACAGTGAAAGTGACGCTGACACGTATGTAAAGGATTAATGGTATGCGTGTGTCAGGCCTTGAAGATGTGAACGGTCATGCATGTCACTAAGCATCTGGAGAAACTAAATACACTGTGCAGCCATTGTGCCATACTTTAGAGGATCGTGACTTCAACATCAGGCAACTAGATCATGTTGTGATTCGGATTTTAACGAAGAAATTTAAAATTTTGAAAAAGTAAATTTTTATGAATATGTATTTTTAGGCTAAATAAGATCATCTTTGTGTCAGCTTTGAGAATAGGACCCAGTTTATAGGAAAATGTGTGCAGTGAACGAACATTGTCAATATTGGGGATTTCTTTTTGACGTACTAGTAATATATCAGAACCCTTATCATACGACTGTGTGATACCAAATGTTAAAAGAAAATCGGATTAATTTTGAAGAAAACATCCATTTACTCAAAAGAAGTATATTGCACACGAAAGTGCTGAGTTGTGACTGCAGTGTGAAAATGGACCATCAGATTTTTTTTAAGACGTGTCTCTTTTGTTTTTGAAGCAAGCTCTTTGACGGACCTCTTGGCTGCAATAAATGGCTCCCATATTTTGGACTTCATCTTCTTTTTGTTGTGTTTGCATCATTTGTCCTCAGATAATCGGGAAATAAATTTTCTTCCACTGTTTGGCTTTCTTGCTTCTTAATCATAACAATACAATGTTTCTCTTTCTTTCATTTATTACAGTCAAGAGCAACAAATAATTCACACTTTCGGAACCAGTTGCAACTGAACCAAGATATTATTGTCACTCTTTACAAGGACCGTTCATAATTTAAGGCATGGGGGTGGGGGCTGATGATTTTCATGGAGAAGCATGTACAAAGTCAACCCACCCCCTGCAAATCCCAAGTGTGTACCAACCACACCCCCAGAACAAAATGGATGACCTACCCCTTAAAATAGCCATAAATTATGAACAGTCCCTAAAACATTTAGAAATTTTAATCTAACAGTAAACTTTTGAACTGGTCCCAAATTTAAATATTAAATTCCCCCTGTCAGCAATATTCCAGCTAAAACACAGTGCAGTATCAGTAACCACTTCGCAACCAGTTTAATACCAGTTAAATAACAAACGGTCCGTTGTGTCTTGGGGTTTGATGATTTTAAGATCAGGGTAGGTGGGGGGTCATCAGTTTTCTATATAAATATATTTTAAAATTATTGATCCATAAAAATCATCACACACCTGATACCCCATAGATTATGAACGGTCCCTAACCAGCTTCTCTTCACCTTCCCATATGTCCTGGTTCAAACCACTCAATTACATTTCTGCAATGTAAGATAGTGGTCTACTTATAATGAAAGACATGGATATGACATCATGAAGCTAAGTTTAAGATTTGAAAAGAATTTCATTTGTCGTAATCTGAATGTATTCTTCGAAGTTTTTCTTTCTTGTTTTTGTTATTGTGTCGTTTCCATGTTTTCTCATTAATTGATGTCTTGCTACTGTGAGGGGTGGAGCTCTGTGTTGACTCAGCAGAAACATGTTGGAGCCCTTCGGATCGGACGAATTTGGACACTCCACGTGTCCCTTTTGAGTGGGCAGACATTCTGGCCTGAAAAGAAAATATGGCAGCCTGCATTATTAATCTATTTTATTAGATAACTCTCCACATTTAGGCCGATTTACACAATTGGGATACAATGACATGACTCAACCAATGCAGCAAGCCTGACCATCCGATCCCTTTAGTCGCTTCAACCCACAAGCATGGGTTGCTGAAGACCAATTTGAACCTGAATCGTCAGGGATTGCTGACTAGCAATCGACCAAGTCAAAGAGTCTCTGCACCCAAACATTTCAGGCACACTTAACAATTTTAATTAATTAATGAGGATTATTCTTGGAAATATCTTCCATATATCCAGACAGAATAAAGCAAAAATTGTTCATTCTCCAGTTTTTGATCTCACAATTGTGAAATTTGAACGTTCATAGAAAATTAATGAACCCACCTTGGCAAAGAACTCCTTATCTAGAGATGTAGTGTGTGGAGCTTTGGCCTGAAACAATTAGAAACATATCCCTTGGTCATTTGAACTAAGATGCTTGACTTTATCTGAATGCATCTAATGAAGATGTATGCACCTCAGTTTTGTCATCTTCATACACATTGGTGGTTCAGACCCCACTGTGTCAAATTCCAGTTGTCTGGGTTCAAGTTTCTAAAAACCAAACAGCATGTTATGAATGAGTGTGTGGGTTAGGTTTTGCACCGCTCTCAGCAATATTTCAGCAACATTTCAGCAACATCATGGCAGAGGACACAAGAAATGGGCTTCACACATTGTACCATTGAGGGGAATCGAACCCGGGTCCTTGCTGTGATGGTGAAATCACTCATAACATAGTGTTAGCATTCACTCAAGTAATTTAGTTGTCTTGGCTGCATATTTCACTGTCCCTTTTGCTCATTCCTCTCATTATGCTCTGAATTCAAATTCTACACATTTTCTCTCCCAAAATGAGTCTAGGATACAAATGGAGACTCACAGGTTGTGTGAACTGAATATGAGGAGACACAGATAACTGCCACCTCACCATCAGATAATATTGCATGGACAAACTTATCTACTGTCAGCCACAGAAATTTGGGTTTCTTGAAGACCATTCCAGAGAAAGTTTGAAAACGATTTCCCTTCCTCCCAGTTTGTAGCTGATCCTACTGTTTATTATGTTTACATTTTCTGTCAGCTTAATTTAGATCCAGTTCGTACCATAATTGGAAGCATTAATAACTTGTTCTGAATTACAGCCAGCAAATGCCAAAACTCATTGAGTATTATTACTATCCTCAGCAAAATTTGGTAGTCTCAAGCTAGTTGCACAGTGCAAATTCCCATGGCTGACAATATGATCATAAGAGTGAGTGAGTGAGTTGGCTTTTACGCCGCTTTCAGCAATATTCCAGCAATATCATGGCGGGATACACCAGTGGGGAATCGAACCCAGGCCTTCGGCATGACAACAGTGTATGAAATAAGCCAAAAATCCAGCCAGACATCTGGGCTGGTAATTTCAAAAACGTATCAGCCCAGAAGAGATTTAACCAGTCCAGTGGACACGTTATCTGAATATTTATTTTCACCCGTCCATCGGGCTGGCTAGCTTTAAAATTAGACCGTCCGGCAGAAATCTAGCCCGTCTCGGGCTGTCGGACGGGCCTTATTTCATACAACTGCATGACAAGCAAACACTTTAACCAATGGGCTACCTCACCGCCCATATATGGACTGTCACCTTCAGCGAGAGATCCGGTTCCTCTTCCTGCCCACTAGGATGGGTGACTCCGCCCTTCTCCAGGATAGGTGTGGCTTGGAAGTGTTCAGCATCCAGACCAGGTGGGGGATGACAGTACAGTAGCTTCCCCTGCAGCATCAGTTAACAAACGTAAACGAGGGTGTGAGTACGGTCTTATGCCGCTTTATGAAATATTTCAGCAATATCATGGCAAGGGGTCAACCAAACCAAAAATGGGCTTCACACATCGTTACTATGTGGGAATGAACCTTGGCCTCATTTTCAACCATACAAAGCTACTCCTCGTTGCTTTAATATTCACTGAACTTCAAAGCGAAATATTGTAAATTTCCAATATAGCTTAATCCCAAACTTCTGCATTATCTGAGCTAGTAAGGAGCCGGTAAATTTGAAGTTTTTGAAACATCAAATTGTTGATAAATGCTTAAAAATAAGACAAAACACTTGCCCTCAGGATTTTTAAGAGATGCACAGTTAGTGACGGTGCCTTGCATACAGGATTCAACATAAAGAATGTAAGTCTTGATATCAGAGTAACAGACCCAACACTCCCAGAAATAGCATTAATTACAGTATGATAAAGATGAGTGTGACTAACATGATTGATGAACGCTTCAATTCTTTCAATTTTTCCAGAAACTTTCTGCAAACCTTGGGCAGATCCAACCTACCCATCATAAATTTCCAACATAGTTAACCCCTAAACTTTTATCTGGGCTAATATGGTGCTGATAATTTGTAGCTTTTTGAAACATGAAAATGTTGATAAATGTTTCAAAGTGAGACAAAAAACACTTCCCCTCAGGATTTTATGAGACGCAGAGTTTCTGATGGTGCATTGTATATATTAACATACCATTCAACATCACAAACCATCACAAACCATTAAACAGCCCTAAAATCAATGCAAAACACCCACCCCAGCCAAGCAATAACACTAACAATAAAGATGTGTGCAACATGATAAAGGAACTTTTCAATTAATTCAGTTTTTAACAGAAATTTGTGCTGCATATGTCGGGGCAATACTCGGCCTCTGAGCAGATCCAGACAAACACTAGGAATCAAATCAAAACGTACGTGGACATAATCCTTCAGGATGTATCTTGATGACCTTGGGCAGTCAGGGAGGCCATTGGAGGTCATGTAGCCACGCATTACTGCAAAGGAATGTTAAAACATGTCCTGTATTTGAAAACCAACAGTAACATACGAACAACTTTTCAATCTTTGACAAAACGTGCATGATAAAAGTAGGTCCTTTGTTCTGCCATGTTAGAACAGTAGCTGATGTAACTATTAACAAAATTAGGCATGGGACACGGCAGATGATCATGATGATGTGGCCGACATTCACAAATGAAGGGGTGTGTAAATTTAGCTTTACGCCACTTTTAGATATATTCAAGCAATATCACAACGGGAGACACAAGAAATGGGCTTCACACATTGTATCCATGTAGTGAATCAAACCCAGGTGTTCGGCATGACGGGCAAACACCTCTACTCCACCGCCCCGTCAAGGTACAAAGCAATAAACCAAATCACCAGATCCAGAATGTTGTCTCTCGCCATTAGCTGGCAACTAATTCTAACCAAGAATCCTAAAAGGTGCCAAGGTTATTTATTGACAGTTTTGTGTTGAGAAAACAGCGACAATAGTATACTTACATCCATATGCATTCAGAAGCTCATGTGCTGTAGGCCGGACATCTTCATCAACATCTTCTGATTCGGGGAGAGGAATGTTGATGCTGTACATCATCTCGAGCGTCTTTCGTGGTATTCGCTCGCAGATGTAGCAGTGTTAAGGTAACAACATGGCAGAACACTGGCTTGACAATTACAAATCTACATTCATCGAGAAAACAATCTGTCAAAATGTCAATAATAAAGTAGTCAGGAGGTTTTGCTGAATTCTTAAACCACTGTATGCAAATATTAAACTGTTTAGTTGAAATGGGTACCTATATTTTATTTCTGCTGGGTTTTTTTAAAGACACACATACAATAATTAGTTGGTTGGTTTGTTCATTGTTTGTTGTTTAACGTAGCACTAAGCAATATTCCAGCGGTCTGTGATTTGTCTAGTCTGGACCAGACAATCCAGTGATCAACAGCATGAGCATCGATTTGCGCAATTGGGAACCGATGACTTGTGTCAACCAAGTCAGCGAGCCTGACCACCCGATCCCGTTAGTCACCTCTAACGACAAGCATGGGTTACTGAAGATCAATTCTAACCTGGACACACTAATTAATTCTTAGTCATCTACTACAACATCTGTGAAGGATATGAGTGAAACTGGTGGAACGTGGTCCCGCATCTGGTCGATGGGCAGGATTCCATTGACCACAAGGTCAGCCTTAGTGGACACAAACGACGGAAATACCAGTCCTGGACAGTCACACAGCATCAACATTGGGTCGACAAACAGCGTCTGCAACAAGGCACAGCCTTCAAATAGGTGTGGACAATGTCAATATCTTCCCGTGACAGTTGCATAATGCAAACAAATTCTCAGGAGGTGAGTGAGTGAGTGAGTTTAGTTTTACGCCACACTCAGCAATTTTCCAGCTATATGGTGGCAGTCTGTAAATAATCAAGTCTGGACCAGACAATCCAGTGATCAACAGCATGAGCATCGATCTGCGCAATTGGGAACCGATGACATGTGTCAACCAAGTCAGCGAGCTGACCACCCGATCCCGTTAGTCGCCTCTAACGACAAGCATGGGTTACTGAAGATCAATATTCTAACCCGGACCTTCACAGGTCTCAGGAGGTGAATGGGAGACAAGTTCTTCCAGCTTAAGTGTCTCCCATATATTTAAATATTCTACAATCATAGTATAGGGAGGGAAGGAGGGTACAAAGTTTTTTGCAGTGAATGTCTCCTTAAGTACAGAAAATCTCCCCCCTTTCCCCTGGGTGCCGTTGTACAGAGCAACCTTAGCGGGTAAGTCTATGCTGTCTGCCATCCATATTCGAGCCATACAATGCTGGCCTGTTAGTAATCAAGTCTGGACCAAACAATCCAGTTATTGTAATAATGAGCTTGGATCCCCAGTTGGGGCATGATGACTGACCACTTGATCACATGTTGTCTTTTAAGATAAACATGGGTGGCTAAAGACGATTTCTAAGCAGGATCTAACTGGTTGCCTAGTAACCTGACTGACCTGGAAGTGCTTGGTTCGGCCAGGAGTAGCAGACACTGGCACCTTCTTCATCTGTAGGATGGCGTTAATTGTAGAACTCTTGCCAACATTGGGGTAGCCGATCTATTTGACAGGAAAACCAAACATTCAGATACAACAACACTACAGGAACTACAATCCTCATGACTGGACTAGAAATATGGTCACCATCATGTATTCTTTCATCATGAGGTGAGGTGAGGTGAAATTGGGTTTAACTTCGTGCTTGAGAATATTTCTCTCATATGACGGTGTGTATGTGTATGTGTGGTTGCTTGTACTAGCCCAGACTTAAGCTGTTTTTTTTAATAGTGCTAGCCCACTGAGATACCATGCCGCATTGAAACATGAATACCCCACTCAGACACATTATACTGACTCCGAGCCGACCAGTCCTTGTTGTACCCATTAATGCCGAGCGCCAGGCAGGGACCAACAAGTACCATATTTTAATGTCTTTTGGTATGACGCGGTCTGGGATCGAACCCGCGACCTTCCGCTCTCCGGGCGGACGCTCTAACCACTACACCACTGAGGCGGTCCTTTCATCATGAAGACAAAGGACAAAATGTTACGCAAGTGATTATATACTGGCTGAACACTGAATTGCAGTGGCAAATGTAAAAAACAATGACAAGGTGGCACATTTACAGTTTCAGACCACCTGAGATGTGTCTGCCTATTCATATGAAGTTCCAACTGCATGTAATGGTGCCTTGGGCAATATTCCAGCAATATCAGTATCACAGCAGGGGACACCAGAAATGGGCTTCACATATTGTGCCCATGTGGGGAATCGAACCTGGGTTTTTGGTGTGACGTGCAAAAGCTTTAACCACTAGGCTACCCCACTGGCCTTTTAGTAGAGATCTGATACCACTGAATCTGAATCTAACCACCATTTATTATGCACTACTTTTTCACTTGTTACTAATTGAGATGTACAGTGAAGCCCCGTTAGTCCGGACTCCGATAATCCGGATGTCTCGCCTCCCGGGCGATTTCAGCTTGTTACCAATCTATGCCTATATAATTTGCCTCGATAATCCGGAAATTCGGTTTCCGGAACCGGACGGTAAGTAGCTGTCACCAATCAGTAAAATAAACAGTAAATTGCTTCACAGTTCGGACGCTGTAAGTCGTGTTCACGAACCCTAACAACACCTCCCGGCGATATTTACTTAATTAACTGGCCAACTGGGTTGTTGTTTTAATTAGACATAAAAAGCTCCCGACTGAAGATACTGTACATTTACGCGTGGATGGCAAGTTAGCTGTTTTCTGATTGGTTAATGTACTTTGACAGACAGATCCGGTCACGTGGACTAAAAGTGATTTTGCTTTACGACAATGCTGCAAGTCACAAGTGTCCTTCGCTAACTTTGCGAAATGTGACCAAATACCACGTCTCATATTCAACCGATGGATGCAGGAATAATTCGGACATTCAAGGCATACTACAATAGATCGCTTGTTAGACATTACCTCAACTGTGCTGAGGAAGGACGTGATCAGACACGTCGGATCAACATGCGGATGTCACTCGGTAAAATTATTGATGTGATGAATTAGGCTTTACATTAAATGCTTATTTGTTTTATCCAGATTCGTGTCGTTTTTGTAATTCTTAGGGAAGCAACTTGGGTCTTGATTCAGTAGTCCGGACTATTCGCAATCCGGACGAATTTACTGAGAAACGCAACCGTCCGGATTAACGAGGCTTCACTGTATACAGATGTGACAGGTTGAGAAAGCATTTCAAACATGGAAAGTTTGCAGATTTTAATCCTTTAGGGCACACTTAATCTCAAAGCATGACCAAAATAAAATTGAAACTTGGAAATAAAAGTTGATGCCAAAACTGACATGCGAAATTGTCCCACAAACAAAAAGCAATATTTCTGACCATTTGCGATCATGTCATGCTGCATTTCATTTTAATGAAGTTTCAATTCAGCTACAATATATATCCAGTTCGTTCCTCTTAAACATACTGAAAAAAGGGGTTCACCATTAACTGCTGGCCCTCCATCCTCAATAATCTCCAGGGTATACGTTCCGATAAATCTCCACTAAACCCTGGATGCATCTACTGCTCGAGCCGATGATTTTATTACCTCCCTTTGCTGGCTTTGCATTCTCACAGTAACCAATCAGATAAGCCGCCATTACAACCAAGCCTGCCAGTGTCAACAAAGATAGCGGTCGCACCCTCGAAAGTTTGTTCGCAGCTCAATTCAGATTTGGGGGGAAAACATACAGACAAATTGACAGGTCTGACAGGTCTGAAATCTTAAAAAAATATATGCAAGAACTCCTTCTACCTCTTTCAGAGAACCTCTGCAACAATATATCATTATGTTATGTTCTAATCAGTTAGATAATTTAAAAAGTGAAAACGAGTTGTGATTGGTACGCTCAGCTTCCCAGCGTAGACACCTGATTGGATAAAAAGCCAACCAAGGGAGGTAATAAACTCATCGGCTCGAGCCGTAGATGCATCCAGGGTATAGTGGAGATTTATCGGAACGTATACCCTGGAGATTATCAAGGATGCTGGCTCTCAGGCTCATGTCTAATAGAATTTGAAGATCGAACATTATTTGAAGACACTATCCAGAAGGGCATAGGGTTGCACAATGCACATGATTTTTTCAATATTCTCTTGGGAATAGAGCACAGACATGTAACACTGAACGTATCATGTAAATGAATGCCTAATCAGTTCCGACATTACCCCATAAATACAAGTTCATACTCCGTCTGGGATCAGCGAACACTGTATTTTAATCTATTCCATTAATAAGACATGTTTCGGATTAGTTTCTAGTACGATTCAACTCTTCACTCTGCAAATGAGGCCCCTAATCATAATTGGAATACTTTACGTACTTTACCATGAAGGTGTACTCACACATATCACATCTGACCAAACAAACCAGTGATCAACAGCATAAGCAGAAATGATACAAAAACATGTGTCTACCACATCAGCGAGCCTGAGCACCCAATTCCGTTAGTCGTTTCTTAAAACAAGCATGGAAGACCAATTCTAACCCAGGGCCTAGATTTTCGAAGCTCTCTTAGCACTAAAATAGCCGTAAGTGCCATACATTAACTTACGACTATCTTAGCACTAAGAGAGCTTCGAAAATGTAGCCCCAGATCTGTGACCACTTTCTTAAAGGCAAAGTCTAATAATAGCTTCTCACCATGCCTATGGTTGTGACGTGAGCCTTGTACTTGGCTCCTGAGTGAAGGTTCCTTAGAATCTCGAGCAAGTCCGGACCACTCACAATTCTGGTGGAATTAAACCGGGACACATCGCCACCAGAGGAGTTACCTCCCTTACTACTGTCCACTTTTTCACCAGGACTGCCTGCCTCACATTGAAGGTGTGATGGATTTGTTTGGTCCCTGTCAACATTTGAGGCGTCACTTAGCCTGCTATGTGTTTCAGAGCTACGCTCACTGTTCTCACATTCTGCGTTTTCACACTCCATGATCTCAGGATCACTGTCATCATCACTGTCCACAACAACATCACCATCTTCCTCTTGTTTGGCTTCTTCCTTCTGTCTGTTGGCTTCATGTAAGGCTGACCAGAACACAACTCGCACATTCTGGGATGTGAAATAATCCACCCAATGATGCCTAAAAAGAAAATCCAGTTCAAGTTTTACCACCATTTAAAGCACAGGTGGAAACAATACATTGATACCACACAATATTTAACTGACTGACGGACTGAGTTTGGTTTTCACGCCGCTTTTAGCAATATTCCAGCAACATCATGGCGGGGGACACCAGAAAATATTTACAACACGTTTCTGGGCTACTTCATGCCCCTTCATCAGGTGAATGACAGGAAGCCAGTGACATAGTATTACAGACTACAGATTGAGATGTACAGAGATCAAGGAGATCAAGTGATATGTTTAATTGAGATGTACAAAGTGTAACTGTGGGGAATCAAATTCCGGCATCCTATATGCATAAAACTTGACAATGGACACAACAAAATTTATTAGCTCGTCCACAGGGACTCAGAAAAAGTCCAAATACTATTTTGTGCAAATTCCAATCAAGAGCCAAACGTTATCACTGAGTTTGCTACTAGCTGGGTTATGGTATTGTTTGCAATTTAATTACTGTAACAATGTGATGATCATGATACACAATACAATAACAGTATTAATAATAATATTTAAGTGTCTGGGACCCCTATTTTGTTGTCCAGGACTCCTGAAAATTAAGAGTATGAATTACAGGGACTCTCAAATACAGGACTCAAGGTAAATCCCTGAATCATATCAGGCCAATGGAATGAAGAGTGAACTTTATAACACTACCCCACTGCTGACTTCTATCAAAAGGAACACCTTGATGAGTTCTTGTTACTGCTTCTTACCTGTGTTCCTCAGTCAGGTAGTCGGCCTTGTTCACCAGGAGCAGGTTGACCTTCGTACTGTCCACCTCCCTCACATAGCTCTCAATGTCTTCACACCGGAACAACAGAGGGTTCCGTGCATCCACGATCTGGACAACAACATCGCTGAAAACAAAGAATACATTAATCACATCAGTGACCCATACACTAGGGGTGCAACGGTACGCCCATGCCACAGTTCGCTGCGTATTGCGGTACACAGCTATCGGTTCGGTGCATTTCGGTTCAGTTCATTAACAATAAAAACTAAAGTTCTCAGAAGAAATCTTCTTGGAATTGGGACCCAAACGAAAGTGCCTTTACACGAACTCGTTCATCCAATCGAATTAGCATGAGTTGTTGACAATAGGATTATGACACAGAATTGTCAGAAATGGTAGCTAAATGAAGATGTCATCTAGAACTAAATTACATGGAATTTTGTGATGACATTCCGTAAGAAATGTGCATAAGGTGAGTAAGATGATATTTTCGGTATGAATGTGAATTTCGGTGTACCAAACCAAAAACAAAATACATTGGTATGAATACACCGCGGTATACCGTTCCAACCCTACGATACACTAACATGCCTCCATATACACAATGTCATTTAGAAAGTGGTATAGATAACCAGTTGTCCAACTTCCATTTTGCGGAAGCCACGGTGTTTGTATGGGCAAGATCGCTGACTTTGTGTGCTGGCGATTAGGTGTCTGACTCTGTTCGAAACCTGACTAAAGTACTAGAATCTGTTCTTAACTGGAAAACTGTAATCCAAAATATATCATTCTCATGACCCATTAAAATGTTGAAATGGTAATAAGCATGTTTCAGTGAGTAATCTTACCACTGACTTCATCTGGCTAAAATATTGTTCTTTATCCAACAAGATCCAATGAATTTCACGCCACTCATAACTCTATCCCAATCCAGCAGACGCCACAAAGTTTGCCATTACCACACTAATGACGTGACAAAAACAGGATAACTTTCAAACACATCCTTCCCATACCAGACCCAGCCTGGGGACTGATCACATTGTGTTGTCAAAGCATGAACCTGACAAGACAAATACCCAAGCTACAATTATGTAACAATTACATAACACCACCCTTTTCTCTGTCAGCTTGCTAGGGCTATAACACAGAAGACAAAGGAGACAGAGGGATGTTTCAGGTGTAAACATGTAAGAGTTTATCATGGACAACCTCCACACAAGCAACCTGTTAAGGGAGAGGAAGAGGGAAGGTGGGGGTAAAGGTCGGGGGTAGAAGAAGAGGGTAGAGGAAGGGTGTATAGGAAAGGTATATAGGAAGGGGGCAGGGGGTATAGGGTAGGGTTAGGAAAGGGTTACAGCAAGGGGTAGAGAAAAGGGGTGTAGGAAGGGGGTAGCGGAAATGGGAAGGGGTATAGGAAGGGGTAGAGAAGGGGGTTAGGGGTTATAGGAATAGGGTAGAGAATGGGGGGGTGCAGAGAAAGAGTGTATAGGAAGGGAGTAGGGGATATAGGAAGGGGCAGAGGAAAGGGGTGGAGGAAGGGGGTATAGGAAGGGGTTGGGTATAGGAAGGTGTTAGGTAGTATAGAAAGGCGTGGGGGTAGAGGGAAGATGTATACAAAAGGGGTAGAGGATGGGGTAGAGGTAGATGAAGGGGTATAGGAATGGAGCAGAGGAATGGGATAGAGGAAGGGGGCATAGGAAGGGGGTAGGGGGAGAGGAAGGGGTAATAGGAAGGGGGGATAGGTGTTAGGGTAGAGGAAGGGTGTGGGTGGTGGGGGCAGGGGGTAGAAGAAAGGGGTATAGGAAGGGGTTAAGGGTTAGGGGAAGACAGAGAGACATAGCAGGAGGGTGACGAAATGACAGTGTGGGGGGGCATGAAAGCATGACAGATCTATTTTTCATATTACGTTTATTTACTAGCCATTTTTTATGGGAACTGGGTCAGTGAGACTAGGGTGCAAGATCAGACGGGTGGGACAAACCTCCTCTCTAACAAACAAATCACCTCAATACAAAACACTTCAATTGTTCTTTCTACAACGTGCTAAATTTGTCTCTGTAACATCCTACATACCTCCTCTCAATAACACGCCATAGCTGTCGCCAGAAATCCAGGTTCTTCTCGTAAGGTGTCATCACAATGTGCTCCACTTCTTGAAGGCTAAGACACAGAGGAACATAGCTTTGAATGGGAATTCAATCATATATCACAATACGCAAGTTGCAAATGTATCAGCTGAGTGACCAATCTAAGGAAGACAACTCTACAAGGAAAAGCATGGCACTTTTGATTTCTGGGTCACTCCCAGGAAGAAGACATCCAGATCAAATGATAACATGGCTTAAAGGTCACATGCAACGTAAAACACAACTTTGCAGATTCTGATACCTTTCGGCATGGACTATCAAAAATGCAAATTCAACTAATAAAGTTGAAAAATAACGAGATGACCTATGTGTCTGCCTGCCTGTCTGCTAATGACAATATTCAAAACACAACTTCGATCACTGACCACATGCAATTTGAACTTTATGTAATTTATCACATTATGTAATGTACACAGACAGGTAGGTGTGATACCTGTACACATGACATGTTATGATGTCTGTTGATTGTAAAATGTTATACACAAAAATGAGCATATATTTACAAAACCCAACATCTATATATACATTATACACACACACAATGAGCCATGAGGGCATCGGCAAATGAACCAGCCAATGAAAGTCTGCGTTACACTTGAGTGCACACCCACCCGCTCTAACTGGGTTCGGTATCCCGGGTGCTTCGTTTCGAGGGAAGTAAACCCAAGTACAAAATATTGCACTTTTGATTTTCAATTGTACGCTTATAATTAGGTTTATGTTTTTTTATAATCAGTAATGCATATTATATGTCATGAATAAGTGATATTTGTGTTTTAATTATGTTTGATTTTTTGGTTGCATGTGACCTTTAAGATGACACCAACTGGTGCTACCATGGCAGTGTGATGTCACTATTTTGTTTGTTGTTGTCCTATACTCATAAAAAATTGACAATGGACGCAACAAAATTTATTAGCGCGTCCACAGGGACTTTAAAAAATTCCAATCAAGTGACAATAATTGATCACAGTTTGCTACTAGCTAGGTTATGGTATTATTTTCAATTAAATTACTGTAACAATGTGATGATCATGATACACAATACAATAACAGCATTAATAATAATATTTTAGTGTATGGGATCCCAAAATTGTTGTCCATGACCCCCCAAATTTAAGAGCATGAGTCCCAGGGACCCTCAAATACAGGACTCAAGGTAAATCCGACACCCAATCCCATTTGTTGCCTCTTAGTCTTACAACAAACATGGGATGCTGAAGACCTTTTCTAACCCGGACCTTCATGGGTCTCAACCAATTCAATCCGTACGTTTATGCATGGGAGTTAAATCATCTACACTCCAAGATCACTCCATAGAACTGGCCCATGCTCTGGTTAATGTTAAGTTATCTTACACTAATGCTTATATCTGTATATCCATGATTCTGTATTTTCACAAATGTATGTCAACATTATTTTTCCACTATTTTGTTTTGCTGACCTTGCAAGATTTCTCCTCCATTCCAGAAAGGCGTCTCTCTCTCTCAGCTCCAGCTGCTCGGCGGTAGTGCTCTCATCCCACTTTGGCCTGTAACATGAAAATTGTCATCCAGTTTGTAAACAACATCATAACTGCTTTGCATATTTTAAACAATTTCTAATTGGCTTAGCATAAGTATAATTCCCTGGACATTTTATGGCAGCATAAGGACCCAAGGGATTGTGCAATGTCTTACAAAAATGAGTGAGTGAGTGAGCCACACATTAATTTGACTATAGTCCGTTTGGCTCAAAAGCAGACCGATGAATTGCAATCTAACTCGAAAACTAATAAACATATAATACTCAATGAAACGCTGATCATAATCTAAACATCAGACCAACTCTGTGATTTGTTTGCAGAATTTATGTTCTAAAATTAAAAAAGTTGTTTTACAAACTATCATTAAAATTTTGACACAGTTCACCATTTCTTACGAGGGAGGAGTGCAGAGAAAGGGACAGCCAGGTGTTAGAGAAGCACGTGCACAAGTGCCGTCAAAATTATTGATTCATTAACTTGTGCTGTGCCGTCTCCATCCTTTCTTGCACACCTGGCTGTCCCTTTCTCTGCACCCCTCCCTCGTAACATATAGTGAATTGTGTCGATATTTTAATGATAGTTTGTTAAACCACTTTTTTATTTTTAGGACATAAATTCTGCAAAAACCTCACAGAGTTGGTCTGAGGTTTTGATTATGATCAGTGTTTCATTGAGTATTTTATGTTTATTTGTTTTCGAGTTAGATTGCAATAAACGGACTATAGTTGCAGCCATACAGCTAGCCTCACCTTCGTGGAATCCTCAGAAGACTTCGGTTTTCATCTTGAGCTTCTCGGATCTTCTTCTTCTCATCCTCCGACAGAGTTGCAGCTCTTTGTGGGTCCACAAACTTTATGTTCAGCTTTTCTGCAATATTTCACAATATTTCACTTTCATATCAACGAATGACTCTCAAAGGGGAAAAGTCAACTGTATACCACGAATTAAAGATGCACACTGAATACAGGTCATTTGATACAATGTTCTCAGTAAGGCAAGACATCTATTTAAACTTGGTTTACAAATCACAAGCCTATACTCCTTTACAAAGGCAACCTGAAACATCTGGACAGCCTTGCCCTTCCTCCAAATGTAATAAAACACTCAATATTGATCTGTACGTTTGCTTGCTACTTCAATGATTTAACAACAAACATAGAAAAACGTGAGGCAGGATGACTGACTGACTGACTGACTGAGTTTAGTTTTACGCCACTTTTAGCAATATTCCAGCAATATCACGGCAGGGGACACCAGAAATGGGCTTCACACATTGTGCCCATGTGGGAAATCGAACCCGGGTCTTTGGCGTGACAAGCCAACGCTTTAACCACTAGGCTACACCACCGCCCCTGAGGCAGGATGAAATAAAATGTTAATTCATTCTGGCCAATATCTTTTCACACAGCTGTCTTTATCCCATGGTAATGTCTGACGGTTCTCAAAGTACAGCATTTGGAGATAGCAGGCACCACAGGCTTCTTTGACCACTGCTTGTTTATTTGTTGTTTAACATGTTTAACGCTGCACTAAGCCATATTCCAGCAAAATGGCGTCGACCTGTAATTACTCAAGCCTGGACCAAACAATCCAGTGATCAACGGTATGAGCATTGACCAACGCAGTTGGGATAGCATGACATGTGTCAACCAAGTCAGTGAGCCTGACCATCCGATCCCATTCATCGCCTATAATGACAAGCATGGGCTGGGGAAGACTAACAACCAGTCTCTGAAATGAAAATATTTTACTGAAAAAAGTTCATAGTAAAAAAAATATAATATAATGAAAAGGAGCCCTGAGAAGCTGAGGAAATCTAGACTTGCCACATTTTCTAGACTTATAACAGTAAGACAGACTAGGGTTGCGGAAGACCAGATCACGGGCAAAGAACCACAGGAATGGGTTCAAAGGATAGGATAGGTGCTGCAAAATGAGCCCTTAAATGTGGAGGTTATACCTGCAGTAAATTCTGTTCCTGCCATCTGTGCTGTACTGAGGAATTCATCCAGGTGAGACTGTTCTGTCACTGACTGTAGGTTCAGTCGTCCCCAGTCGTAACCATCATTCAGTTCACTTGTGTGTAGCTGTCAAATACAGAAATACATCACGATGATAGTACCAGTACATGACACTTTATCTTTCCTTCATGTAAAACACCATGATGTCATAGGTCAATGACGCTTTAACAAGTTTCCGTGTCACCCCTCCCAAGAGGGTGATAACTGGAAAAAATATTACCCACTGCCACAGTAACTGCCAAACTCTCTGCCGAGAAGCTGTATCACTAACAATCGTATGATGCTTATAGATCTTCAAAATAAAATGATATTTTGTGTATTAAACATGGCAGTAAGATAAATATGTTGTAAACTTCAGAGAAGCATACAACTTATAGTATTCAATACCAGCAGGACCACAATGACACTGTTTGTTTATTAATGATGATCTGGGTAATATTTGTGAAGTATGATGATGTGTGCATATTTTCGAGTCTGGACCAGACAATCCAGTGACTGACATCTAATGAACATTGATCAATGCAGTTGGGATACAATGAATCTTAAATGAGTGAGTTTAGTTTTACGCCGCTTTTAGCAATATTCCAGCTATATCACAGCGGGGGACACCAGAAATGGGCTTCACATATTGTACCCATGTTGGGAATCGAACCAAGGTCTTCGGCGTGACGAATGAACGCTTTAACCTCTACACTACCCCACCGCCCTGAATCTTCAATGATTTGTAATGTATCCACCAAGTCAGTTAGCCACTATGACACAGAACTCAATGCCACCACAGAAATAATGCTATACTAAATAGTAGTAATAGTGCTATCAGTTTTCTTCATTTATAAATACCCTTTGGCCTCTAAGCCAGAATGGTTAAGACACAGCCACATCAATCGTGATTCAAATTTCTATTTAATATTGTTGTGATACGAGAGGTAAAATGTCATCAAACTCAAAGCTACCAGTACCAACACATTCAAAGTGTCACCGGTTCATGTGAAGAAGTAGACCTGTCAGTACAGTAAAAATTTTGCTGCTTATGTCATGATGAAAAGGTAGAGTGAATTAGTGTGAACAAAATAATTTCACTATTATTCATATTTTGGGAATAGGTATCAAACTTTCAGAAAGATTTCTGCCCGTAACCCCCGTTTTTTAAAATTATTCTATGCTTAAAAATAGATATTTTTTCATAAATAGGGTGCTTATTTATTTTTGTTTTTAAAACCTTTAAAAGGGGTTTAGAAGTTTTGGGGAATAAAAAGATTTAGACTGACTGACTGACTGAGTTAGGTTTTACGCCGCTTTTAGCAATATTCCAGCAACATCACGGCGGGGGACACCAAAAATGGGCTGCACACATTGTACCCATGTGGAAAAAGATTTAGACCTTACCCTACCCATATAAGATTTCAAATGGGGATTACGTGTGGACCTCTTACCAAACGTTCAATTACTATTCTAATGTTCATGCTCACATAACAAATATATACCAAAATGTGTCAGTTCAGTCACAAATTCCTTCTAAAGTACACAACCAAGGACCTGTTTTGACAGATGATGCCACAAAAATAGCAGCAGTGCCAGAGGTTCACACACAATTTCATTCATATTTTATTTGTCGCGTATGAACTTACGAAGCTGTTGTCAGTTCTCTTTGCCGCGCCGAACCTGTCTTTGATAATGCCTCTGCCTATAGCACTGCCTTTGTTCTTCTTTTTACCCATCGTCGCCGACCGTCAAATACTGTCAAACAGTTATGTTACTTCTCTCACTGGTAATGTTATTTAAAGCATGTATTTCACAACACAACCTTCTGCTGTTCAGGAAACACATTTGTGCACGTGGGCAGCAAAGGTAAAGTCGAAGTCTGATTGGGTAAAATTTGTCAAGGGACACAACTCTAAACATCATTCTGGAAACGTTCACGTTACTTTCGACACAAGCTTGTCAGCTGTTTATATTTAGTTCTTACCGCACACCCTGTGTTATTTCATAGCTTTTCATTAAACTGGCGGATCCAGAGTGGTGGGGTGCGCACCCCCCACCCCTTTGTCCTGAAAGTTTATTAAATGACCATTGAAAAACGGGTGAAAATGATGTGGGCACCCCTCCTTTCTCAGGAGTGTGCACCACAAGATGTGACGAATCGTCACATTTTTCTGGCCTGTGGCAGAGATACTATGCTGGCTTGCCGCATGGAACTCGGGGTAGGAGAGTGGAGTGTGCACCACCCCTTTCTGAAAAGCTGTAATAAAGAATACCGTTACAAGGTATTAAAACATTAAGACCCCGTGTGAAGAACTGTAGGCTATTTGTTGCTGTATGACTTATATGAAATAACAATGATTTTAATTTTTATGTCGAATAGTTCTCTAAGGTGAGGTGAGGTGAAGCTGGGTTTAACGTCGTACTTGAGAATATTTCGCTCATATGACGACGTGCATGCGTGTGTATGTGTATGTGTATGTGTATGTGCGGCTGCTTGTACTAGCCCAGACTGGTTTTATAGTGCTAGCCCACTGAGATACCATATGCCGCAGTGAAGCATGAGTACCCCACTCGGACACATTATACTGACTCCGAGCCGACCAGTCCTTGTTGTACCCATCAATGCCAGGGACCAACAAGTACCATATTTTAACGTCTTTTGGTATGACGCGGTCGGGGATCGAACCCGCGACCTTCCGCTCTCCCGGCGAACCACGGAGGCTGTAAATAGTTCTCTAAGAATAATCTGTGTAATTATTGTGAAGTTAATGTTTCTCTGTTGGAATTTATAGATAACATGTTCGTAGATGAAAATGACAAAAAGATCAAATTTTGAGATCGATGACTTAAACAAAAAAAACTAATTGTTATTCACATGCCAATAAACATTGACCACCCAAAACGAATTATACATTACACCCACACACCCACACGCAACGCGCGCACGCACGCACACACACTACCCACCCACCAAATATAATCTTTGATTTGAAGAGTACTTGAAGAGAATACCTATAAGAGACATTACGACACCGAAAACTGACGGTCGGTTCGAAGATTGTGAATTCGTTCACAGTGACGTGTTGATAAGTACAACAAATCGTGCTTATCTGGACAGTATCGTTGTATTGTTTCCCGGGAAATAGTTCATGTACATTATCAATACTTACTTTCAATCACTCTATGTATGTGCGCGTGCGGATACTTTTGTTAATTTCGCTAAAAGCCACATTCAGCAATATTTCAGCTTCATGACGGTCAGTAAGTGTTAAATGTTTAACTGAATCTCTGCGGGATAATCCAATGATTGACATTATTTACGGGGTACGTACGTTACCTGATTACCGAGCCCGAGAACGATTCTGACGACATGCACAAGTTACTATAAGTCCACATGTCTTCCACGGGTCCCAGGGACGGTGGGGTAGCCCAGCTAGTGGTTAAAGCGTTCGCTCGTCACGCCGAAGGCTCGGGTTCAATTCCCCACATGGGTACAATGTGTGAAGCCCATTCCTGGTGTCCCCCGCCGTGATATTGCTGGAATATTGCTAAAAGCGGCGCTAAACCCAACTAACTCACTCACTCACTCCACGGGGACCCACCGTGTCACCAGTTTGTTGATCCAGACTCGTTTATATTATTGGTTTCATGAATCAAGGCTCGAACACTTGACTGATATGCTGTTCTGCAAAACTACATTCACACACACTAAACGTTCCGTCATTTCAGGCCATCTTCTATTACCCAGGGGCGGTGGGGTAGCCAAGTGGTTAAAGCGTTGGCTCGTCACGCCGAAGACCCTGGTTCGATACCCAATATGGGTACAATGCGTGAAGCCCATTTCTGCTGTACCCCGACGTGATATATTGATATTGCTGGAATATTGCTAAAAGCGTCGTAAAACTAAGCTAACTTCCTCTATTACCTAAAGCAGGATATCAGTTATGATAGAATTAATGGACACATACAGCACTTGGTTATCGAGGATGGTTCAAAACACACGTAGGGGTCGAGATGTCACGTGAACAATATTCCGCTAATTTACGCCAGAGGTTGGTGGGGTAGCCTGGTGGGTAAAGCCACAGGCCCTCGTGTCTTTGCGAGGATTAAAGATTTTGAAAAAATATAAAAAATTTGAGATGACCCCCGACTCGAAATGCCTCACAGTACAATACATTATGATGTATTGTACTGTGACTGTGAGGCATTTCAAGTCGGGGGTCATCTCAAAAAAATATTTTTCTTAATCTTTAATCTTCGCAGACACGAGGGCCTGTGGTTAAAGCGTCCACTCGTCAAGCCGAAGACCCGGGTCCGATTCCCCACATGGGTACAATGTGTGAAACCCACTTCTGGTGTCCCCCGCCACGATATTGCTGGAATATTGCTAAAAGCGGCGTAAACCATACTCACTCACTCACTCAAAATTCATTCACTTAATGCCAGAGGGAGACAAACCAGTTATGGTCACGTGCTGGCTGTTCTTCAACCTGGAGAGTCTTAAAGCACGAGTGTTGGCGCGACCAACAGGGTCAACATGTAAATTGTATTGTTACTAAACCTAGAGTACGGACCTCGAAGTTTGGAAAGTTTTGTGTTAGCGTGGAAACACAAAATATCCATATAGACAAGTAAAAATACATTTGTTTTAATATTTTATTTCCACAGTTTTCTAAGTGGATCCGACCAGTGCTGCACGTTCGGCGAAGTCCTCACCTGAAAGAAACCCCAAAACATTCATAAAACGTATTTATCGTTCTCATTCCAGTATAAGACATAAGTGGCGTTAAATTTAAGCGTGAATGGGTATTAAGGTGTTGCTACTTTACTTCCAACTTGGGTTGGTAGTTTAACGCCGCACTCAGCAATATTCCAGCTATATTACGTTGGTCTGTAAATAATCGAGTCTGGACCAGACAATTAAGCTATCAAAAGCATGAGCATCGATCTACGCAATACGGATGCGATGACATGTGTCAACCAAGTCAGCGAGTCTGACCACCCGATCCCGTTAGTCAGCAAAAGAGCATGGGTTGCTGAAGATCAACTCTAACCCGGATCTTCTAGGGTTACTATTTCGGATTCAATTATTGGGCGAAATCATAATAGTGGTTGATATTATGAGCACCGACGCTCGAAATTGGGGTACAGTAACATGTCCGGATCCATGTGGTCGCTCTCTTACAAGCACAGGTTAGACATCAGTATTTGAAGTCCCATTTTGTACTATAAAGTTTGACAATGCGATAGCTTTTCTTTGTCCTAGTCATGATGGGACGGCGGGGTAGCCTAGCGGTTAAACCACTCGCTCGTCACGCCGGAGACCTGGGTTCTATTCCCCATATGAAAACAATGTGTGAAGCCCATTCTGGTATCCCAAACCGTGATATTGTTGGAATATTGCTAAAAGCGGCGTAAAACTAAACTCACTAAATCACTCACTTAGTGTCGGTGATCATCGTCATCGTCATCGTGATCGTGGTCATGCCCGTCACCATGATAGTGTCCATCTCCGAGGTCACCCTGTCCGTTGCCATTACCTTGGCCGTTAGCTTGGCCGTTACCTTGACCGTTAGCTTGACCCATACCTTCACTAAGGTTAACGAAAGCAACTGCAACTGAAATGAAACAAGGATCTTCACAGGTAACCTACATTCGTGATCAGGTTAGGGAGGGGGGATACTTTTGATTTTGTACATAACAAGCAGGGGCACTTACTTTGTACATAAGGGTTTTTTTTTGGGGTATTCACATTTTAATTGCTTCTCCATAAAAATCATCATTCCCGACCGCACCCAACGCCGCACCCAACAATTCTCCAGCTATACGGCGGCGGCCTGTAATTAATCGAATCTGAACCAGAACCAGACAATCCAGTGATCATCAGCATGCGCATCGATCTACGCAGTTGGGATACGATTACACGTGTTAACCAAGTAAGCGAGCCTGACCAGCCAGTCGCCTCTTATGACAAGCATTAGACTAACATCTAGTCTCCGACATGAACATATTTTACATGCAAAAACGATTCATAAATAGTCATCATAAGATGTAATGAAAAATATCCCCGTGCCCCAGACTTGCCACATATTCTAGATTCTCTTGGATATATTTGTTTCAGGGTCTGTATGACAGACTGGACAAGCATAGGTTGCTGATGAAAAATATTAACCCTGGTCTTCACAGGTTTCCCCAAGGTATGTATGAACACATGTACAAAAGATTTATGATACATAATATTTTAGAATGATGGTCGAGATTTCATTGTAAATGTGTCCACTGAAGTTAAGGAAACGAAGAAAACAATATTACGAAATTAACAGTCCGTGTATTTACCAAGAGCAAAAGAAAGTATCACTGTGACGAAACGAAATAATCCCTAACAATATTATCAAAAGGCCAGAAAGCTTTAACTCAAGCAGTGCAAGACAACGTATCACTGTGGCGAAGTATGATACATCATTATACCACTGAAGTAAACGAAACGAAATAATCCCTAACAATATTACCAAAAGGCCAGAAAGCTTTAACTCACCAAGTGCAAGACAAAGTACCACTGTGGTGAAGTAACATATGTCATTGTACCAGTGACGTTAACGAAGAGATGAATACAATATTATGAAAATAACAGCCCATATGACAAGAGCAAGACAAAGTATCACTGTGACGAAAAGAAATAATCCCTAACAATATTACTAACACGCCAGACTGACTGACTGACTGAGTTTAGTTTTACGCCGCTTTTAGCAATATTCCAGCAATATCACGGCGGGGGACACCAGAAATGACTAACACGCCAGAAAGGTTTAACTCAACAAGTGCAAGACAAAGTACCAATGTGGTGAAGTATCACATGTCA